CTACTGCTACTGCTACTGCTAAGACTGTTACTGACTCCTCTTCCTACTATATAAGACCGTACAATCGCTAGCAATTATACAGCGAAGATCAAGAAGAAGTGCGCATACCGGTTGCTCCAGGCCGACCAAGGGCCTCAAGTTTGCGGACGTGCCGAACGGACTTGCGGCTCTGTCCAAGGCCACTGGACACTGCGGGACGTATACGGTTTAGTTAGTTTGGTTAGGGGTTTTTAAGGGTTCCTGACAGTTTAGGATGTTAGTTTAGGGCCAAGTTTAGGCTCTCTTACAAGAAGGTGGACTGCTGAGAAAGTCAGGACTTAGGGCTCCGCGCAGCTAAGTGTCGTTGGGGTACGGGCCACTTGCATTGCTTGTTTGATCGCCTCCGTCCTCTGCTAGGTTGCTCATGATATCAAGCTTCGACTTATTTTTGGTATGGTTGCTGAAAACTTCCGTTTGCAGAACCTCATGAATGTTCGTAGTTACCGCCACCGCCAGCCCCGCCACCGCCACCACCGCCACCACCACCACCACGACCACGAGCACGACCACGACTATCATCGTTAGCATCGTCGCATGCTTGGTGCCTTTGCCGACCGTGTGCACGCAAGTGCGGATTACTTAATCTTCTTTGTCACTCGGCGCAAAACAGTGAACACGACCTTTCCTGATTCCTTGGCCAGGTGCGCGGTGGTTTGCAACTGCCACCGGTCAACCCGACAACCAAGCCCTAAACCCTAAGCGCAGCAGCTCGCAGGTGCCTTTCTTGGGCTGGATCCAGATCCTCGTCTTCTGCGGCATGGTGGACTTCGGCCTGTACAGGCTCTGATTCATCAACCCTTCAACAAGCCCTGATCCCCGAAGCCCAACACAATTACCGTTTCCACCACAGGCGAAGCTCTCTTTCTGTGCCGGAAATCCCACACTCCGAAATCCGCAAAACCAGGCTTTTTTGCTAGGTCCAAGAGCCATTCAGGGCCTTAAGCCTTACACGTCTAGATACATAGACGGACAGATTGATAGATAAACAGATACATAGATAGATAGATTGATAAATGATAAATATGTTTTGTTTGTTTATAGTGTGTGTACATGGTACATACACACACACACACGCACACACACACACACATATACATATATATATATGTATATACATATATGTTTCTACACACACACACATATATATATACATACACATACACACACATGCATATATGCAGAAGCACACACCTTGCTCTTTCCATATATACCCACATATATGGACACTTAAATATACATATGCAAATACATATATGCATTATACATATACATATACATACATATATATATATGTACAGCTACACCCATACGCATATTCATATATAAATATGTACACATGCACGCATGTACATATACACAGATGCACTCACATATACATACATACATACATACATACATACATACATACATACATACATACATACATGCATGCCAATCTTGCGCAGTGCTGCAATGCTTACATACCATCACGTTTCATTCTGATTGTTCTCACAACTATGATTCATGCTCGTCATTCTCATGCAGGGCGGATCCCTCCCGTGACCCTGGTGACTACGAGCCCGGGATCCCAGAGGGCGGCAGATCTCTTTAGTATAGGAACTGGGTTTAGCTCGCTGGATAAAGTTCAAGGTTTAGGGATGTCGAGGGGATAGGGACGTATGAGTTGAGGAATGAGGTGTTTGGGGGTTGAGGTGTTTGGGCTTTCCGGGTTTGATATTCAGGGGTTCAAGGGTTCAATACAAGATCCACAGTCGCTAGTCTTCTTCCATGATGTTGCATGTGCATGTACACTTTGCAAGACCTGTAATGCAGATTCGGCATAGTTTATCGTTTGGGCCTGGAGGCGTGCATAATAAAGTGAAGGACATGGAGTCAACTTATTCCGGCCTGAGGCGCGTTTGCGGTTTATTTCAGATTTGGTTTGAGCTTAATCCTGGCGTTGAAAGCCCCCTAAAGCCTAAAAGTGTTAAAGCCCGAAAACGCCAAACAAGTAAAAGCCCCCAAACTTCCAAAGCCCCGAGCCCTTAAAAGCCTGGAGCTCTAAACTCTAAACCCAAATCCCAAAGCCAGGAACGCCGGTATCCTCGGCGTGCCCAACGCCAGTGGCCCAATGGCAGATGCCGAGGGCCGCAAGAGGCCCAAAGCATCTACAAACGGGGCCTTAGCGAATTAGACTAAGGTACCTTGAAAGGGTTGTTACTACAAGGGTTACCGGGTATTGGATTGCCATAAGGGTTCCGGTAAGGGGAGGTGGGGCATGTTGGGAGACTCTGCACTCTGCCTTGCTGTTGTTGAGGAGTTTGAGGTCTTCCTATAGGAGTTCAGCGCGGTCTTGGGCATGAGATATGCTTCCGAAAGAAAAACAAACAATGCTTCTAACCCATGTGATTGGTATTGGGCTGCTCTAAAGCAAAGTTCCAACATCGAGTGCTCCCGTGTTGAGGCTCGTTGTGGGAATGTTAAGTCCCTTTGAACTTCTCCAAAACTGCGGGAGCACCACGACTGTCGAAGAGGTTCCTGCTGTCGGAGGCCCCTCTTCAGACTTTCCATGAATGATGGCAACCTGTATCCGTTGACAAGCCTGGTTCAGATCCTCAAGGGCGGTTGGGCGCGCCCGTCACGGTTGGATTCACAGGGCTTACAAGCAACCGTTAAAGCCTCCAAGAGAGCTCCCGCACCATCCATTCCCCCCACTCGGCAAAGCGCAGGAAGCTGAACTCCGAGTTGGCCAACGGCCGCCTTGCAATGATGGCCATCACCGGCATGCTGTTCCAAAACGGACCGGGGCACTGGTTTCGGCTTCCGATCTTAGGCACTCTTCCAAGATTGGCCGTGGGAGATTCCTAGAGTGTCTAGCCCTCTTGAGTTCGGGCTTCATGCGTTTCGGAGCCGTTGTTGCTGTGAACATTCAAAGGCTAGGGTTCTGGCTTTAGGGGTATTTTAGGGGAGAGGGCCATATTATGGCACTCTCCCTTAAAATACCCCTAAAGCCAGTAATATGAGTTCTGCTGGGACGGCTTGTTCGCCTTAGCATTCTCCATCATAACAACGACGACCCAGAGCGCCTTATGCGCAGGATCTGACGTTGCACCCCAATACATATAAACGCCAGTGAGCCCACGAAGACTGGGTGAAGGCAAGACGAATTCCGGGTCCGTTGCTTGCACGCCTACAGACCTTGGTCGCTACGTCGTACGCTCGGGTGGAGCGTCCGACAAGGCCAAGACGAGCACTTTAAAGGCACTATGATAAACCCAACTCCCGAGATCCCCCATACCCAAAAAAACCCTGGACCCGGAAGTGGAACAGTCCTACACATTATAACAGCTGAAGCCCTAGACTGTTCAAAAGGTCCCGAAAGACCGAGGGAAGGAACAGAGACTGCTAAAACCCAACCCCCGAACCGTGAACCCGAACGATGCTCCGGTGCAGGAATCACGGGAACCACCGGCCCTGCAATGTGGGGATTTTGAGGCCTTCGTGTTGCCCGTGTAGTGAGCTGATGCCGTAACACGTCTGACCAGAGCCCGACACCCAAGTTGCTCGCGTTTTGCTTTCGGGCTTCGGTTTTGGGGCTGAGGCGAGCACTTGGGTCCTAGGAGTGTGAAAACTTCCTGACGCAGCCCCGGACGGCAGAGCCAACCCCCCAATAATGCAGCTCGAAGCGTATAGCATGTTAAGTTAGACAACATGACAAGTTGTAACAGTGTGGTTCCTTCTGTAGACATCAGTTGAATAGGATGTTTCCTTAACAGCAACAATCGCGTTAGCTACTGAATGACAGTGCCATCATCTCCCTTGTAGGATCCCCAGAGCCCCAGTCTGAGCTCAGTTGATAACGTCGTTCTGTTTCACAAGCCCTGTTCCGTGCTAGAGCGATGACACTTGTGCTTGATCTTCAGTTGAAGCTTCCCTTTGTGGGTATATCTCAAGACCGTCATGAGCTGCAAACATGAACGACAACGATCGTATCTCAAGATATTCACGAGTCGCGGATCTGAAGAGAAAAGCACTGAGTGACGAGTACTTTCATGAGCAGTCCTGATGCGAGGTGCTTTAATGAACGACGTCGTGTTTGTACATGAGCCTTCGGGCCCAGGACTCAGCTCTTTTTGGGGCTGCTTTTTTTTTGTGCGTGTGTGTGAGGTTAGGGGTAAATCATTGAGATCTTCAGTCTATGCAAAATACCTTAAACCCAGATGCTTGCATCGACTGCCTCCTAAGGCTGGGAGATAGGTAGATGACTTTGCTACATGCCCGGATGGTCAGGGATGGAGTTTCTCTTGTTGGGGGTTTGGCATACAGGTATTTGGCGAGTTTTTCGTGCTTATTCCGATTGGACCAGAAAGGCTGTTGGCTTGGACTGGGAGTTCACGGGTGTCAGGGACCCAGGTTACTGCAGGTCGGGTGTTAGGTTGGTTGGACGTCTACGCACGAGCCGCGCCGACCCGCCTGACAACAAGAGTAAGTTGGATTGTAAAGTGATTCTCATCTTTGGCAGCCGTCCCTGTGTAAGTACCGGTCCTCGTGTCTTGGTAGCCGTATTTTGCTGTGCTGCTCTGGATGGGACTCGTGCATCCTCGCAATCACTGTAAACAGATGTGCTAAACTGCAACTACTCACCTAGCTTCTTATCTTTCGCAGCACCATGCAGTTTCGTAAATATATCCGTGCAGTAGCTTGGCAAATGGCTTCTGTTGTCCTCGATCTCTCGTCAACCCGAATCCGCTGCGGCGGCACTTGGTGGTCCAGCCTCGTCTTGTTTTTCCTTGGACGCAGCATACGCCCAGGATCCGAAACCTTACACTCCAACCCTAAGTCGTAAATCCTGAATCTCGAGCCCTACACATACACCCCTATCTTATGTAGGCGCAAACCAACCAAGCCTGACAAAAATTGCAAGGCCTGGCGACTGAAGCCCCACCGCACGACTCGATCCTTGCGCACAGCCGCAAAGCTGCCGCCAACAAAATGAGAATGGCGTCGTGCAAGGGGTCGCGACAGAGCCTCACACATGAGTTCTTCGTGCGAGAGTCTGTGGTGCACTGTAGGGAACCGAGTACTGCCGGCAGGAAACGAAGAAGCAGGCATGATTCGACAGAAGAACAACCCTCCACTGTTTCCGATGCAGTTGCAGCTTCGGGTTTATGTCGGTCTACCATCATGCTATGTCGTTTTTGAACCGACATCCAGCCCAGCCACCAAGGGGCTAAATACCGTGCTCCCCCCATCAGAAAATGCACACCTACTAGACTGCTTCCTAAGTTTCAACCAACTTCGGTTTGCCGCGATGCATGTCGGCTTTGCTGCTAGCCTTGACCAAGTGTTGCAAGTGTCGGAACGCCGCCATTTGAAGCATACTCGTGCCCAAGAGCAAATGTACGTATATACATATAGTCGAACATACATACTTGCGCATTATGCAGACATGCGCATACAACATGGCGGTACCACATGCAGCCAGACAGGAACACGTATGTATGTGCATGTGTGTGTATATATATATGTATATATGTATGTATAGATGTATATAGGCATACACGCGTACAGAGATGTGAACCCGATCCCTTCTCCGAGACTTTCATCATCCGACAACCCACAGCTGCAGCTCCACGACCCTACAAACTAAAGTTTAATCCTGAACTTTACGCTCTGTCTGTATTTGGTAGTTCTAAAGCCGCAAAACCCGGAGCCTCAAAGCCGCCAATGCTACAAGCCACCAGCCGGAAGTTCGCCCTCGCCGCGACCTCAGTGCTCGAGGCTTAGAGGTGTATCGCGACTCCATGGTTGCAGTATCGATCGAAGTTTTGAGCGACTTCTAGGGGCCTGGCCTGCATCCGCCGTTCCGGTTTATTGCATTTAAAGCAGATCCTGGGGTTAACGGTTTACCTTTCGGGGTCAATGTGGGGTCTGCCTGGAGCATCGATTAGAAGTGGTGGTGAGTGGTATCGGAGGGGTGAGGCGTTCGGCATGTATTCTGGGAGAAGTGGATGTTGCTTTTCAACCCAAAAGGTTTATGTCGGCCTTGCACAACCTCTGCTGCCTCGGCAACGAAATCTCAACTACCTGTCATCTGTCTGACTAAAGTCCTTGATCCGTCTCTCTGCCGTTGAATCCTCCGGACAGCTGCAGCTGCGAGCATTCAAAGTAGCAGGGTTTGCACGATTTTATTTGAGCTGGGAAGCACTCCGACACATCGGTGCAAAGAACACTTGTAGCAAGCTAGGAACATCTGCGGGAAGGTTCAGGAATTTGTCGTGGCCTGGCCATGGGTGCTGGTGCATCAGCGGAGCGGCAAGCGGCTCAAGTCGCAGAGGCCTCGCCTGCAGAGCTGCGTGAGCTGGCAGCGACTTTGTCTTTCCCCGAGCACGAGAAGTTCAAGGAGGCTCTGGCTCTGGTGGCCGGAGATGGCTCACTGAAGCTGGAGGTCCTCCTGCCCAGCGGCCATTGTGAAGCCGTTTCGATGCCACCAGGCTCCACGGTCAGTGATCTTGGAGCTGCAGCTCGGAGTGCTCTCGGGCTCCAGGGGCGCTTAAGGCTTGTTGCCTCTGATGGCCAGCTACTTGATCGAGGGCAGCAGCTTTCCAGTGGAGACCGGATCACTGCCATTGCTCAGCAGCTTGATTCAACGAATTGCCCTCCGTGAGTTGTCTAGCGGCACAGTCGGGAAATCCAGGCCATAACTTTCCCTAGAATGCCATTCTGCTGGGAATCCCCAGGCTTGAAGAGCATAATTTTGCGTTGAGCTAAGTCAGACTTTTGGGTTCCGTGTCCGCCTCAGGCCTGTGTATGTGCAGACGACCGATGAAGCCGCGGCATGCTTTTGCAGCGGTGGGAACCGTGTGGTCACTTGGGGTAAGGGGAATTTCGGAGGAGACAGCGCCAAGGTGCAGAAGCATCTTCGGAACGTCACTGAAATTCAGGCGCCAGAAGACCAAACACCTAGTAGAGCTGTTTTGGAGCAAGGGTCCTGCCATTCTCGGTGACCTTCTAGACCTTACAACATTAAGATACCTGCTTGGAGATCCTAAAGGATCAGCAACTTCGAGCTCCCCGGTCCGATGTGCCAGTGCCTAAACAGCCCTAAGCTCATGGCACTGGCATTTCCATGGTATGATTCCGGATCATGCTTTGCTGCACAAGTCGCCATTGACTGCTGGCGACTGCACGTGCCCTAAAAATCCGAAAGGCTGCACAGAGGCCGTGAAGGATTTCGACTTTTTGAGGTTGAGCAAACAAGAGAGCATTCCCGTCGCCCTGTCTCAACCGCACTTGAAGACTCAGGGCAAGAACTGCTTAACGGATCTTAACGGTATGTCTAAGCTGTAGCCTTGCTTCAGGCGTGCGCAGACGGCCATTTTGCGGCTATTCGGGCAGACAGCACCGTGGTCACGTGGGGCAGTTCGGACACCGAAAGGTATGCAAAGAACGTGGCGGATCAGCTGACGCAGGTACAAAGGCCCTTGGACTTGTTTGAGCATTTTCTGTTGCTTCCGCCTCACTGCAGAGCGCACACCAACCAGCGAAAGATCCTGGCAGTCCAAGAGCTACATGCGCAAGAACCCTTCCTGAAGCACCCCGAAGCTGTTGAGAACTTCCCATGAGTCCAATGTGTACCACACTCTGGCGATCTCTGGCGCACGCGTGGCGCTCGGGAGGCGACTCAGGTAGGCAGAAGCTACCAGTCGCATCCAAACAATGCACCGGACTGCGGTGGGAAGATGAGTCGCACCCAAAGTATGCCGTAGATCATTAGGTGTCCGCGGAGGACTTGGAGGGGGACAGAGGATGCGATAAAAATCGAAAGTGTGCACCTCGCACCTCGCGGCCTCAACAACCTCATTAGT